AGATGTTTGGATGTGTCAGCCAGTGAAGTAGCGACCGCCTTCGGGCACCTAGACTTCCTCTTATTACAAGGACCAAGGCAGGTGGGGGAAGAAACAGGGCGATAGATGCTGGGCATGTTAACCTAACTGTAAACGCAGTCGGGCGCAAGTCACTGACTATGATGTGCCTCCTACTCTATGGAGTAGGCGGTGGAAATCAGCGCTTGAGACGGTTGACCTGTCAGACAGGCTGTAGTATCGGCGAAGGGAGCGCGTTCAGTGATGGGAAAAGCCGATATACGATAGGTCGTCCATGTGCCTGGTGCCGCGTGGCTTTTCCACACGACTCTTGGCTGACAACCAGCTAACCGCCTGTGGCTTCCCGAAGCTCTGTGTGCAGAGGCCATACCCTAGCAACCGCTTAGACCGGTGGGCTAAACCAGCAGCATCAACTTCTACGTGGGAAAGTTTTATGTGGTCCAGGAGCAAAAACATGAGACTGAAGTGTGTTATTATATAGGGCGCTACTTTCCTGTCTATGGTAAATGCTAAAACCGACTTCTTCCACCTTTCGTGTGTATTCAACAAAGTATTGCTTGACAGAATATTTGCAATAGTAGCATCGTCGGTTTCAAGGCAGACTGATTGTAACGGTCATCACGCTTTGACAAAGTACAGCCGGCCCAGTTGTCCAAAACGTCAGCGAACAAACGAACACATTTCGGTGAGCATACTATGGTTTGTGAAAAAACATGGGGTTGGATTGATTAACTTCCACACGACAGAAGGCGGAGAGAATGAGGTTAACGACAACTAGACTCAAATACAGTTCTCTCCGTAGCTGTAGAAGACGTCGCATCTATGCATTAACCATTCACCTTAATGGGTCTGATTACGAGATAATTTTCGTAGACAGAACTACAAAGGATATGACATTAATATAAATGGTAGGACGGCTCGAAGTTCGCACCTTCCAGTCGACAAGGCGCCATAATGGCCACGGATTCCTTAGCCTGTTTCTGCGAACTAAAAATGTCACCAAAAGCGGGCAACAGAATGCGCAGGTACACTGTCTACGGAAACGAGTCAGTGGTCAGTCAGGTTAAACTGTCAGCCAGGCAAGCGGAGGCAACGGAGA